TAGAACTATTTTAATAGATTCTAAGCAAAAAGTTGTAACTTTGAAAAGAATTAGACTTTTTCTTGCCTTTCCACCACCTAATGAACCAACGCTAGTGAAACTAAACTATGCCTATTTAAATCACTCTTGCTTTATTTTAAGTTGCTTATTAATCAAGATACTTTATGTAAGCGTTCAGACATCAATTCAAAAGAAACCACGGGATTTATATGAAATGCCAAAGCTGCCTTAAGTGCGTTCAGTTCATTATGCGATGTGCTCATTACATTATTTGTTGTGCTTATTGCATTATACGATGTGGTGACTACATTATATATTGCGCTCATTGCATTATACGATGTAGTGATTACATTACACGCTGCTCTAACTACATTATACGCTGCGCTAACTACATTATACGCTGTGCTTACTACATTATATGATGTGCTCACTGCATTATATGATGTGCTACTAAATTATATAGTGTGCACACTACGTTATATATTGCGGTCATTACAATATATAATGTGATAACGCGAGGTTAGAATTATTTTGTTCTTTCTCCACATTTTTTTGTTTCAAGATAAAACGATTTAAAAAATAAAAACTTTAGGAGACGGCATATAAAAAGATTTTTATTACTTATGTTTTCTCCGAAACTTTTTTGATTTTAACTTAGGTTTTAATATTGTAGAAAAACATTATTTTGAGGTACATTACACAATTAATAACTCATTTTTTTCAAAAAGTGGAGATAGAACAAAATAATTCTAACCTCGCGATAATGCATTATATGAAGTGCTGCTACATTATGTGTTATGCTCACTTTATTATATGATGCGCTCATTTCTTTATATGATGTGCTCACTACATTATACGGAGGAGTTTTAAAGGAGGGTGAAATTTAGAAAAAAAAAAGGGGGGGGGGTTAAAAAATAAATTTTTAACTTTTAAAATGCCATATCCTTTATTGCAGATAATGATATAGTTGATGTTTTAACAAATATTGGTTTACAAAATCTTATAAACGGATTTAAAATAGAAAGATTTAATATTTTGACAGTTTTAGCTGCACCTGATGAGAAGCTATCTAGACTTGGAGTTATCACACTAGGTTAGCGATTTCACTGCTCAGCGAATAACATTTGACGTTCGACGAAAAACGCCGATTTTTCATAAACTTTACTCTCTTATATCTTTTTGTAGGGTTAAGCAATCACTATGAGGTTTTTTGTATCAATTAGTGTTACTCAACCTCTTTCCAGCCATATATAAAAAGTACTATGCTTTATATGGCTTCACTTAAATATTATGACCACTTTTAATATAAAAAAAAACTAGCCGCGGGAACGTTTTTTTAAACGAAGCTTTTTCTGGTAAGAATTCCTAAGTACCAAAACACATCCAATTTGCATGAAATTTTCCATATAGATTAAAAAAGGATAAGGAATTTAATGGAATGTAGTATATTGTTAGTTTTTTTTTAGAAAAAAACCTTTTTTCAAAAAGGTCCAGGTGGAAAAGGCAAGTATAGCCTTTCCTCTATCTAAATCAAGTATTTATTTATGATTTCTTAAAGAATTGATACTTAGGAAATGTATTTAAAAATTTTAAATACATGTGTGTTTAGCTTTTTTTCGATTCGCCGTTTTTTGTTATGATTTTTGCGTTTGTTTTTGTTTAATTTTTTTTTTTTGGCATTCGCAATTTGTTAATGTCTTTTTGATGTTTACTTTCACTTTCTAATCTAAAGCTTATTTATACGCTTAAAAAGTAGTTAAATAGAAAAAATAATTTTTTGAAAATATTACATAACTGCTTTATATAGCATAAAACTCTTGCTTTCTTTCCATTATTTTTGTTTGTTTTCAAAATAGAAAAAAATTGTCATTCTGAGAATGATATTGAAAGTGAAAGTGAAACTCTTTAGATTTAAAGCTATTAAAAATATTTTATTTTGTTTTTTAAAGGTATTTTGTTTAGATTCTTCCACAAAATTGCAAGCTTGATTGCTTGTCTATTAACTATAGATTCTTTAAGCTGTTTTTTTTTTTAAAACAAAAACCTATAAATAATCAACAAAAGTTCACAAAAATGGAAATGTGTAAGAATTTATTTGATGAGTATCAGTATCATATTGATTTAATAAGGTCTACTTCTATATTCCTGGATATGCTGCATGTAAGCATTACTGTATGCTATGTTACTGTTTAACTTTAGACAACTCACCTGACTCCAAATAGTCACCATCTCCAAAAGGTGGGTGTGCCAATTTTATTTAATATAATTTGAAATTTTCTATTTTCATAGAAAAAAACTGTGAATTCTACTAATAATCATAATATATAAGTTCTGTTTTTTTAGGTTTTCAAACTGACAATAGTGTTCATGAAATGTTGATTCCATCTATAAACCAAGATAGTAAGTGATACTTTGATACTAGTGCGTTTTTCAATATGGAACAAAGTAGCACAAACACTTTGCATTATAATATCTTTTTTTATTGAAAGCAAAGTTTAATACATCAATTAATTTTTTACAATTAGAATTGGGTTTATTTTCAATTTCAGCTTCCATAATATCACCGGAAACAGTCTTTCCTATATACAAGAATATTTTGGAATACCTAAATATTAATGGCAGTATTGTGTCTCTCAAACAACCTGATTTTGTTTTGAGCAATAGACATTTTTTGAAATTTTGCAAAGAAAAAGATTCCTTTATGCATATTTGCATAGTGCAACCCTAATTTTTTTTCTTCATAACACAATTAAATAAGTAGAAACCTTTCAGTCTGTAAAATAAACGATTCTGGATAATCCTGACAGATTTAATAAAAACTAGATCACTATTTAAACTTTTAAGTCAAATATAATAATATTGTAAAAATACCAAAAAGTTAAAAAAAAATTACAAACTATTCAAAATGATGTTTAATTTGTTTAAACAGCCCATTTTCAGCAATTTACTGAGCGAACAGTAATTTATGTGATTATTTCACTGACCAGTCTGTAATTATGCACTAGTTTTCAAATGATGTATTTTTTGGATTCAGTGATTCCTTTATGCATATTCGTATAATTATAATATGACCCCAAATTTTATTCTGCAAAATAAGAAAATAATATATAACCCTTCAGGCTGTAAAATAGATGATTCTGGACAATGGCGACATTTTTTTTAAAGGAAAATTTTTTTATTTTATTTTCTTATAGTTGGTTGATCACTATGGAAAATTTCAAGTCAAATGTATTTTCGATTCAAAAGTTATTCAAAAGTCAGTATGACCCCAAAAACATATAAATTAATAAAAACCCTCGGCCTGTAAAATAGATGGTTCTGGTCAATCCCGACAGATTTAAAATTTTTTTTTTTGGAATTTTAATTTCTTATAGTTGGCTGGTCACTATGAAAAATTTCAAGTCAAATGTATCATTGGTTCGAAAGTTATTCAAATGTCAATAATACTCTCATTTTCGGTGCCATTTCGCAGCAAATTTCCCATACTTGAGCCCTATACCTTTTGTCAAAAAATCACCTGTTTTTTCACTACAAAAACAGGTGAATTCTCTAGATTTATTATTATTGAGCTGTAGTCTTGCTGCTAAAGAAATTAAATTAAATATGGACAGAGGCCAAGGAAAAGTTTATATTAGACCAATACAAAAATCTTTGTCAACTAAATCAATAAATGAAGAACTTATAGTTACTTTAAAAAACAAGTGTTTAAGTTGTGGGAAGGAATTCCTCTTAAATGAATTAAGAAGTCACATACAGATTTGCTTTAATATTAGTAGTGATGAAAATGATGATGTTTTTGAACTTCCTCTGTTTTCTCCATTCAATGACAATTATAATAGTTCAAGTAATAATTTTACTCAACAAAATTGTTATACAATGCAACCTTTACCCCAGTATGAGCTGCCAGAATATGAATCACCAAATGTTAATTTGTTTTTACCCATTTTGGAATCTAAAAATAACAACATGAACGAGAGTGATCTATCTATTTCTCCAATAAATTGTAATTAAAATGTTTTTAAAGAAGATTTAGATACAAAGATAGAAAATATTATTCAATATTATTCATGAGAAAAGTATTTCACAAAATCCTGTTGAAATTTTGCAATATATGCAAAAAAAGTTGATGACTGGAAGGCCTCTTAAAATCACAGACCTTGCTGTTTGTCCAGATAGAGAGACACCTTTTATTCTTGTTGATCGTTCAAATATATTGACGACTGCGTTGGAAGAGTTGCTGGATATTAAAAATGAATTGATTACTCTGGAAGTACAATTTTATAGGGATGTACCGAAGCTTCGGCTTCAGCTTCGGTTTGCCGAAGCTTCGGCAATTTTGCCGAAGCCATGGACATTTTTTGCCAAATCATTGGCTTTGGCAAAAAAATGGACATTACTAAGCTGGCACTCGACTGAGGAAGACATTTTTTTAACGTTCACACGACGTCTGTTTTCCAAATAAAACATAGTTGAACGTTCAAAATTCTTCTTTTTCTTTTTCTTTTGATAAATTTAAATAAGCCTCTGATCTATACAGTTGTGAAGATTAAATGAATCCAGCAACGGCTTTTGGAGGTGGCAAGGCCGTGTGTTGGGCGGCCAAAAACGGCACGATAGCAGATAGAAAGTAAAGTTACTTAATGAAACACATTGATTTTTTTTATAATCACTCAATATAAGCTGATTTAAACTGTAACATTATAGTAAACTTTATATAATTAAATACCATAACCCTAATATTTAGTTATGATCACTCGAGCTTAGCAATAAAATTTATTTATGCATTAGTCGGTAGTAAAATAATGAAAAATAATTAAAATTTAATTTTTTTAGCATTTAGTTATTTGTTAGCATCAACTTCTAAAATCCGAGTTATATTAAATTATATATTTTTTAATATTAAATTAAAATTAAAAAGTAAACCTGGAAATAAATCTTTATTTGAAATTACTTTGATGTAAATAAAACCTCTGGATTTTAAGTAATAAAAAACATAGCGCACGAGAGTTAAGAGAGTTATCTATTTATAATAGTTTAACTATTCTTGAAATTTTTAAAAATCTATACAATAAGTTAATTTTAACGCACGAAATAATTTTTATTCAGAAAGTTTGTTTTACTAAGTCACAGACAGAACACAGAAAGACACTACACAGAAAGACACTACACAGAAAAGACACTACACAGAAAAGACACTACACAGCACAATTGAAATGTAAGCCAATTGCGTTTGTTTTTGATTTTGTATGCTGGATCATTAGTAAAAGTAAATATACCTGCTCTACAAATATAGGTTAATTGGTTATTTACGACTTCGATTTTTTTTAATTCAAATAATATTTGAATCAAAAAATTGAACGAATATTGTTTATTTCAATAAATATTATTAAAGGTAAGAAAATAATTAAACTTTCTATTTCAATTTTCAGAATTGTTATTATAACTTTAAGTTATCCATTAGCCCATTATGGCTACCTCATCGCGAAGTAATAATCCCTTACGGAGTTATTTTAAAGTGAGTGATGAAGATGTTGGCAAAGCCATCTGCATACTTTGCAAGAAGATTTTGTCTAGAGGAAGTAAAGACGCACACAACATGTCAATAACAAATTTACAAAACCATCTGAAAAAATTACATTACAATATACATAGCATGATTTTTTCTCAGAAGAAAATTGTTAACCACGAATCTTTACCAAATCCAAATGAAAAGTCTATAAAACAATTTTGCACTACTCGAATAATATGCTCAGATAGAACAAGCTCTGCTGAATCAGTGCAAATCATTACCAGCACTGCCACAGATGAAACGCAGGGAAGCTCGCGTGTGTCTAATAACACAATTGCCTTTTTTCAAAAAGCATCGACACAGGTCTCTCAGCTAACTGTAGCTGAATTCATTTACTATTCAGTATTCATGATTTTGTGACTGGATGGGGGCATGTCTTGTTGAAAAATTATCTTTTGTATAGAAAAAAGTTAACTTAACTTATCTAAGCTTATAGTATAATAAATGTTCTGGTGAGGGGGGAAAGATACATACCTCTATCCGCCACTTAGATCTATCGCTGGCCATTGTTAGTTACAAGTTGCTAAGTAATTTTTTTAATTCGTTGAATTTGTTTCAGGTCTCACTGCGGGAGATTTTGCAAAGAAAAGAATTGTGGCAACTTGATAATCCTAAGGCTCAAGCTATTACCAAGCTTATTGGAGAAATGATATGTTTAGACTTGCAGCCATACTGTATTGTTGAAGATAAAGGTTTTACCCGACTTTTAAAGAATTTAGCTCCAAACTATACAATACCTAGTCGAAAGTATTTCTCCACAAAAGTCATTCCACTGATGTATGAAACCATAAAAGCCAAAGTAAAATATGAGCTTGATCAAGCAGATTTCCTAAGTTTAACTAGTGATGGTTGAACCTGTCAGCACAGTTTAACAGCTAGATTTGTAACGCATGAGTTTACAGTTAAACATGTCATCTTACAAGTTACACACTTCCCTGAGTCGCACACAGGGCACAATATAAGTAAATTCATAAATGAAGCGCTACAATCATGGGAAATTCCCCATGAAAAAATTCATGCAGTTTTAACTGATAATGCAGCCAATGTAATTAAAGATGTTTATAGCCCAAATTTGACTGCCATTAAAGAGTCAAATTTGGGCTATAAACATCTTCCATGTCTGATACATACTTTACAACTTTGTATTTAGAAAAAGATCTTTAGAGAACAAAGAACAGCAAGTGATGCAATAGCTGTTTTTCGAGCATTAGCAGGACATTTCCACCACTCTTCTAATGCTGTGGCTAAACTAAAGGAAAGTCAAAGTCAACTAAAATTGGCAGAGCATAACATAATTCAAGATGTTTCCACAAGATGGAATTCGACATACTATATGCTTGAAAGGTTCATTGAGCAGAAAAAAGCTATTACATTGTATTGCATTACCAGAAATCAAACAAATGCAAAAAATCCTACGGAAAATCAATGACAACTTGCTGAAATGCTTGTATGCATATTAAAACACTTCGAAAGTACTACAAAAGACACGAGTAAAGAAACTGCATGTATATCAGAGATTATACCATTTATCTATGCAATAGAAAAGTTTCTAGACTACGCTTGTGACACGGCAACTGAAATAAAAACTGTTGTTGATGAACTTAAGAAAGATTTTAACTGTCGTTTTCAAAAATACAAGGATAATGTTGATTTAAAAATCGCAATGATGCTTGATCCTCGTTTCAAGTTAAAGTTTGTTGAAGACAAGAATCATAATATGTTTAAAGAAATACTTCATCTAGAGTTCTACCGTTTTTGTTCCAAATCTCATTTAGAACAATTAAAAGAAATTGAATTTGGTGTAGCAAGAGGTAGTGGATCAGACTCAGAAGAATCATTAAGTTCATTTTCAGAATCTAAAATTCATGAGTCCGACTCAGATTTTGATGGCTATGGCTCTCCATTAAAAAAAAAAAACTAACGAGCATGGACATATATAGCTTGTTCCACCAAATCGGTGCAAATGAGTATGCTCTACAAAATTCAGAAAATTCTGACGGACGGAGAAAAAAGAAAAAAAACACTAGTTCAAAGGGAAAAACTCTAACTGTCAAAGAAAAATGGTAAGAAAACAGAATCTGTTTATGATTTTTATATTGTTTATACATCAAATATTAAATATTTTTTTATCTCTATTCTCAATCTCCATTTTTTATATTTCAAAAGACGGATAAGAGTATTCTTTTATTTTGTTTAGTTAAAGATGTTTGTTTGTTGTGTTTTAAAAATTTAAACCTAAAATTATCCCCTATATTTTGTGTATCAGCACCGATGAAGTCAACTTCTACTTGAGCCTTCCAATACTGCCAAAGAATGAATGCCCTTATAAGTGGTGGAGTGCATACCGTTACACTTCCTCTGATAAAGATACTTACAAGTTGAATTTGTCAAAGTTTTCAAAGAAAGTTTTGTGCGCGCCTCCTTCATCTGTAAAAAGTGAACGCTTATTTCACACATCTGGAAACATATTTGAAGCAAAAAGAAACAGACTATTACCCGAACATGGAGAACAGATTGCATTTTTAAATTGTAATATGCCTGCTTTCATTGAATAAATTATTATTAACTAAAGAATAGACTGTAGCTTCTTAGTTCAACTGATTCAACTTTTTAACAAAATTTAAAACAAATACCAAATTTTATGTTCAAATTAAAATAATGACTACTTTTATATTTTTACATTTTACGTGTTTACATTTTTATGAATTCTTTCAAAGAATAGACCATAAATTACCTTAAGTATCAGTAAATGTCTAAGATTTAGTGATGTAATCTTTCCTGCTAGATATATAGAGTTAAGACTCTAAATTTCACTCTCTAAATTTTTGTACAAAATTTGTTTAAATTTTTTATAATATTGGTTTTGTTTTATAATTTTCCTAAAATGGGTATGTAGGCCAAAACATTCAAACCTAAAACATTGATATATATAATTTTAAAAGCAACTTGATTATTCCAATCACCGTGGTGAAGTAAATTGAGCTTTAAATTACGTATAACTTAAGCCGAAGCTTCGGCTTCGGCAAAGTGGCTTCGGCCAAAGCTTCGGCTTCGGCAAAATTGCAGCTTCGGTACATCCCTACAATTTTATAGCGAGGTAACTCTTATAGCATTAATTATATCATTAAAATTGATTTCATTTGTATAATAAAGTAGTAAGATTGCTTTTGATGATTTGTTTTTGATATAATAACTAGAACAACTATTTTAAACATTTGTTCATAAAATAAGGATGCTAAAGATTTTAGAGGTCCCAGGAAAGAGTTCTTTGAAATTATTTTACGAAAGATTAGGGAAAAGTATTAGGGAATGAATCGAGTATATAAATATACTCGATTCATTCCCTGAAGATTATTATGCAGTTGGTTTAGTATTTGGTACGACTTTAATTATTCTAGCATAGTTTATTTGTTTATGTATCATTTTATGTATAAGTTATGCATGTGTAACATGCATTTAAATTTTTTATTAAACTAAAAATAATATTTGAATTTAATTCATAAATAATTTTTTCTACAAGTTTAGAATTAATTGCATGCATATAGACATTTAAATGAGTTATATAACAGTTATATAGTTTGAATTATATAGATATATAACATTTAAATATTTTGAATTGTTAAAAAAAGATGTATAACTTTTTTGTATTATTTTTTCATTACAGGTTTTTCTATATTGCAGAATGGTAAACTTCCAAAATTTCTATATCAGATTAGATGAGATTTTTTGTGCCACTGCGCCGAAACCCTTCTATAATGAAATGCGATCTGCCTTTAAAGAGTTTGGAATATAACAAGTAAGAAACAGGCTATATTGATTTGTTTTGTTAAAACAATCAGTAACATTGCTATTTAATAGTATGATATTTTACATCCAATAATAAGATCCCATATTTTTTTATTGCACTTAAAATTTTTTTTCTATGTACATTTATTGTAGTTGTTTGATTTGGTTAATAGATTGCTCATTCTCTACTGGCCATATTGCAGCTTTTTAACTCATGTGATGTAGAAAAACTGACATTCAAGCGATTGTCGACACTTCAAAGCCATCATTTGCAGAAATTGGATCCAATGATCATGTGTTTCAATCTAAAATCTATGCTAAGTAAGCTTTAACAAGTACCTTCGAGAAACTGCTGGTAAGTATTTTAATATATGTTGGTTATTATATTAATATCAATTAGGTTATGCTGGTAAGTATATAAATATGATATATTATTAATATCAGTTTAAAATAGTTTCTTAATTATGCAATTCTAAAAATCTATTATATATTCATTGTGCAAATTACACTTCATTTATTTAAAAAAATTTTTAAAGGTGGTAGAAGAAATGGCGTTACTTTAGAAAGGGTGTTACAATTTGTGACTGGGGCAGAAGCAGAACCTGTGTTAGGATATGAACTCCATCCATCCATTTTATTTATTGGTGCTGAAAATGGTTGGATTCCAACTTCAAAAACATGTTCCAGTGTATTAAATTTACCAAGACCATCTATCGAAAATAATCTACCTTTAGAAGAAAAATTATTTCGACTTTATGACTTAGCATTCAATTATGCCTTTTTTGGCATCGTAAAGTTTTGACCAAAAAAATGTTAATATTTTTCTTTGATTTTTATTGTTGAGCTTTATAACTTTTAATTGTTTTTAAAAAATTAAATTTGTTATGTAGTTTTCCTAGCAAAATTAAATTTGAAAAATAATTCAATTTTGTTATGTACATTTTCAAATTGATCGGCTATCAAAAAGTGGAGTTAATAGTTCGCCACCTTTAATAAAAATATTCAAAACAAAAATTTAAAAGTATTTGATTAGGTTTAACATAATTAGTTATAAAATAGTTTAACTATATCTCTAGCTCTTGTATACATAGTGATACCAGAGTCAACGTCAAAAAAAGATTTAGGGACTTTATCTAGTTCCAAGTATAACAGTGCTTGGCCTAGATCGGGTGCTTCAAATATCGGACGTTCATCAGAATTTAAATATTCATGAAGAATTCCTTCCGTGCCGTAGTTTTCAAACTCGTTATTGTTAACCTCAAGACTCATTGGATTATTGAGTTGTCCTTTCACCCAAAGTTTTAAGGGTGATGTCTTAATCGTTCGCATACGATGATTGGCCCAAGCGTGTCTCCATATATCAAGTTTATCATTAATTTTTTCAAGAAAAACGTAGTGTAATGCGAACAAATCTTCTGAGTTGGAAGGATTGAGTATGTAACTATCTTCCATGTAATAAAATAGTTCGTAATAGTAGCTTAATACACCAGAAAAAACGTCTCTCCACAATCTTTCTATTCTTTGATTATGAGTACTCTTACCGGTTAACATACTTCCTCTACATTCTCCACGATTCGCAATCATGTAATCTGGCAGGCCAAATTCATTAACACCTTTTAAAAAGCAATTAAATACGGTGTTAGCTTTGTTGTTGGTTGAACACGCAAGGGCAACTGGCAAACGACTAAAACCATCTCTTACTCCTGTTATTATAAAATACCAACGTACTAACTTATGATTCGTATCAACGTGCCATAGATGATTTGGCCCTTTTACATTGTAGATTATGCGATAAAGACTGCTTTTCTTTCGCTCTTGGTTTCCTAATTGTCTACTCTTAATATTGATTTTCGCAATACTGATCTTCGGACACTTATACCTTAATTTTTTGGTTAAGCATTCTTTCTCCGCATTTTGGAAACTCGTTTGTTAACAAAGCTACTCGCGAATCAAGATCATCATTTGTAATATTTTAAAAATTATACTTTTTAAAATTGTAATCGTTCATTCGACGGTAAATAGTTCTCTCAGCAACATTTAGAAGCCTAGAAATGTCTTTAATTGTAAAATCTTCTTCTATAAGATTCCCTAACACATGACAAGGTATATCAAAATTTGAAGGTCCTCCGCATTCACTTGGATACTTATTAAGTATTTTCGTATTTTAGATTGAACATTTAACTTTTAATTCCATTACTTTTTGTTTGTTTGAAACACCTTCAAAGTCTCTCAAAGACAACTTTAAAATCAGATCAATAGTTATATTTTTCCGTTGAAAGTTTGTAATCAGATGAGAAAGTCCAAGATCTTGCATTACTGTCTTTAGCTGATGGTCTGCTATTTTCAAAAATTATATGTGTAATCTATAAAGCATCATAATTTTATAAAATAATAATGATATCATTTAATGCTTTAGCACATCATATAATGAAGTGCGCAAATTATGTAATGTAGAAGCACATCATATAATGCAGTGAGCACGTCATATAAAGAAATGAGCGCATCATATAATAAAGTGAGCATATCACATAATGTAGTAGCACTTCATATAATGAATACATTATCACATCATATAATGTAATGACCGCAACATATAATTTAGTGCACACATTATATAATGTAGTAACACATCATATAATGTAGTGAGCACATCATATAATGTAGTAAGCACAGCGTATAATGTAGTGAGCACATCATATAATGCTGTGAGCACAGCATATAATGTAATTAGCGTAGCGTATAAGGGGTCGTCCATAAATTACGTCACGCTATAAGGGGGTTGGTGGTTTTGTGACGTAATTTATGGACGACCCCTAATGTAGTTAGCGTTACGTATACTGCAATCACCACATTGTATAATGCAATGAGCGCAACATATAATGTAGTCACCACATCGTATAATGCAATGAGCGCAACATATAATTTAGTCACCACTTCCTATAATGCAATAAGCACAGCAAACAATGTAGTGAGCACATCGCATAATGAATTGAACGCACTTAAGGCAGCTTTGGCGTTCCATAGATTTACATTTTAAATGACAGGTGAGAGAATCGTAAGAGCGATTCCAAAAGTTTTTTTGTCTTTGTGCCTTCTTTATCCCAAGTTATGTTTTAGCGTATTTTAATATAAATAACGAAATATCAACTTACACTAATTTTGTGCAAATCCACTGAAATTAGCAATTAAAATTTTTTATACAAGGATTTGGTTTTCATTAAAAGATGAGTAATATTGACAACAAGAAGAAAATACAAAAGGTTTGGTGTGACGGTTGTTATGATTTAGTACATTTTGGTCATGCAAACCAAATTCGACAGGCAAAATCTATGGGAGATTATTTAATAGTTGGTGTACACTCTGATGAAGAAGTTAGAAAGCACAAAGGGCCACCTGTTTTTAATGAAGAAGAAAGGTTTGTAGTTGCTATTATACACGGAAAATGCGTTACATGTCACTAATTTAAGTGATTTACATGTTACATGATTTACAATGCGTTACATGTCACAATTTAAGTGATCGCTCATGACGGTTTTACCTAACTGCGTCGCAGTTGCCTGTATTCTTTGCCAAAGTCTAGAAAAACGTCAAAAAGATTGCATATATTTATGTGTAAAACAAATAGTTTTTTTTTTTGACATGGCTGACACTTTTGTTTTAATGCTTTTGACTGCTTTTATAAACTTCCAAATATTATACTATTGTTCTTGTGTTTTTTTTTTTAAAAAGTAGAGAATAATTAAAGCCAGAGCCAGACCATATTTGCTCTGAATCTCATGTAACTAGTCATTTAAAACTGCAAACACCTTTTAAACTAGTACTCTAGATACTAGTATATGGCAAGTACACTAATACTCTAGCATACTACTAGTATGCTAGAGTATTAGTGTTTAGTATTAGTATTTAATTTTAAATGCTTGCCATATACTAGTATTACTAGTATATGGCAAGCATTTAAAATCAAAAATGCATTTAAAAAATAAAAGTATTACATTAAAAAAATGTATAAAGCTTTTTATAAAAATATAGCATTTGATTCAGTATAAAAGTTATGGCAATAGCAAACTGCATATTTAAAACTTTTAAAATTTTAATTATTAATAAAAGTTCAGCATTAGTAGATTATATAAAGGTCTTTTACCTATTTAATTTAGTATTTAATTACTTACGCGGGAAGAATAGCTTAGTCAGAGGAAGTATATATTATCAACAATAGAGGTGTTCCAATAGAAGCTATATATAAATTATATATAAAACCAATAAAGATGTTAATTTAAATATTTTACAGCTTTTATATAAATTGCTGATGTGAAATATAACTGCAAGATATATATTTTATCAAAATTTTTCAATAAATTGTTGTTTAAAAATTTTGATATACTATAAATAAATTATAAAGACTCATTAAAAGTTAAATTTTTAAATCAAAAGGGTTAAAAAATTGACAAAAAAAAGGTTTTTTTATTTGACTGCTCATTAAAACAAATGGCTATCTAGTCTTTATTTTATTAGGTTAACATGACTGTCCACTATTCATTATTTTACTTTTAGGTGAACTTATTGTCTTTTTTTTTAATAACATTTATACTTGCTTTAAATTGGTTGCTTTAGATACAAAATGGTTAGAGCAATTAAATGGGTCGATGAGGTTGTTCCTGATGCACCTTATATTACAGCATTAGAGACATTGGATAAGTATGGATGTAGCTTTTGTGTCCATGGTGATGATATCACTTGCACTGCAGATGGACAAGATACTTACCATATTGTAAAAGCAGCTGGGCGGTGAGAAATAAAAAATAACTTGTTACTATAAATATATCTGGAGAAGAAATATTTTTATTTGAAAAACACATCAATGTACTATAAATACTTGAAAGAGTTACTTGATTAGCTAATGTAAGATTATAAAGTGATATTTAGCTAAAGCAAAATTTAAAAAATCAAAAAATAAAACAAAGTAATATAAAATAAAGACCAACAACCTTTATTTTAAATTTTTTCTCTAGAATTATTAACAATCTTTTTTCAATTTTTTTTTGTATATTATAAATTCTTCAGTTAATGATCTATGCAGTTTTTATTTCATAAATTATAAATAGTTATAATAGAATCTTTTGATTGGTGAATATAATTTATAGCTTATTAGATTTGCACAATTTTAAAGATTGGCATACCAAATATCGCAACATTATATAAATATTATTTAAATGTTGAGATAAGTAAAAATCAAAATAAAATCTTAGCAGGTTTATTATGATTGGTTAATATAATTGATTTTCAGATATAAAGAATGTAAACGTACTGAGGGTGTTTCAACTACAAATCTTGTAGGGCGCATGTTGTTGCTAACAAAAACTCACTTTGATCATGGAATTCCAATCAACAGTATGAATCCTCAAGATCTTGAAAAAATATCTTCGGACTCTAGTGGAAAAAGTCCTTATACTGGTGTTTCTCATTTTTTACCATCTTCTCAAAAGATTGTTCAATTTTCAGATGGAAAGGATCCAATGCCAGGAGATCGTATTGTGTATGCTGCAGGAGCTTTTGACTTGTTTCATGTAGGGTTGCTAGACTTTCTAGAAAAAGTTAAAGAATTAGGTGATTATGTTATTGTTGGTTTGCATACTGATTCTGAAGTAAATCGGTATAAAGGAAGCAACTATCCTATTATGAATTTGCATGAGCGGGTGCTTAGTGTGCTTGCATGTCGTTATGTTAATCAAGTTATTATTGGAGCTCCTTATAAAGTCACGGAAGAGCTAATTACACAGTTTAAAGTAATTTTTTTGTATATAATTTTTTATTTTCAATATCACAAACAACGAAGCATAATAACATAAATAAACATATGTCAAATAAAAATTAGCACAAAATTGCTGCCCACTAATTAAAACATCTGTTGATTAATTTTTCTTTATATAATTGACAGGTTATTATATTTGAGTATGTATTGTTTGAGTATAATCCTTTAGGAAATTATTTTTATTGATAGAAATAAAAGAAAACTAACTTTAAATATAAAATCAAATTTGTACAAATTTTATGAGAATATTGATAAATAAGAATATATGTAATTAAACACTAAATTAATAAAAGGTGGTCCAGAATGACTGTTTAAAGGCATATTCAATCCTCAAAATCAGGAAAACCACTTGAGAGACAAAAGGAAATAGTTGTTTACATAGTTGTCACTTGAGAGACAATAAATAATGCCCCTAATTAATTGAATGCCTTTAAGTAATACTTCAAAAAAGGGATATCCATTGATTGCTACTGCTGATAATGTTGACCAACTAAAATTTATAACCAACCAACTAAAATTTGAATAAAAATTAATTTCAAGGTTATACAAAAATTAGCAAACAAAAGAATGTTGTTATGGCCTATTTTGAAATAGATTTATTAAAAAAAACAATTGTGCCAATTTTTAGTTAATATATGTTAAGAAAAAATTGCTGACCATTTTTATTATTGTGTTAAAGGCAGTTTTGTAATGCTTCTATTAAAAACTTTTATGTTTTTTTTATGTTATTGGTCTGAACAGTGTATATACAGTGAACAGTGAACATATATTTTTAATTAAAGTTTAATAAAATTTGTTTAATTCAGATTTCTTGACTGAGATTTTCAACATCACATGAGATGTCAACATTTTATTGTAATTTTTTTTTTCCCTTTACATTAAGAGACTAATATCAATAAACATAAAAAAATTGCAATGATCTGATCCCTACTGAATGGCTACATATCCTAAAGCTTTCAACATCTCAACCTATACAGACCTGCACCCTTATCTAAATGCACTCTCTAAATAGTTGATTTCACTTCATTACAGGTTATCAGTTCTGGTGATATGAAAAATCTCCTAAAAACTATTCACACTTTCTCTACTTAATACCATATAGCTATACAAAGGCATTCAAGTCATCAAAATTAAATGGATGCACTGGCATATTGTTGATAACAATAATGATTTGTTGATCATATTACATACATTTTCCCTGTTATACATACATTATTCCCTGTTATGCATTCATACCTATACAAATTCCAAACCAAAGGATACCATTGCACACACTGCACACACAAGAATGCCTAATATCAACAAACTAATGGGTATTTTAATTAACCTTTCTATGCGTGTGTGTGTGTGTCTTATGTCATTGGGTGACCTTTTTACAAAAAGACATAAAACCTTGATCAGGGACGTTTCTCCTTGAGATTATCTTTTTCACCTGAATTCTAATCTAATTTTTCACATTTAAACTACATTCTTATTATCTAGATCTATGATAGATAGTATCTATATATTTTCTAGGATTCTATAAACATTTATGACACATTATGAATCTTCAATATGTAAGCAATTAGGTGAAAATTTTTAAAAACAGGGGTTTGCCCCATAATATTCACTGTAATTTGGAACATTTTTAAAAATATAAGTTAGAATTTTACTAAGTTGTTGCAAATTTTGTTAATTTATTAATTTGTTACTTGTTATTTTCATTACATAATTGTTGTCATTGCGTTGCTATTTTTATTACATAATAGTTGTGTCAGTTGCATTGAGCAATATTATGTAAACTTTTTTTATTTCTTGTTTTATTGCATTAAAATAGTGATTATCATCATTAAAATAAGTAATTAAATGACATAATAATGTCCAATAAAAATTATCTTGTTAAGTTAAATTTATTTAATATCTACTAAATATCATTTATTAACTAATACCTATAGTAAATACTTTTCACACAATTTGTTAATTATAAAAAAAGCAAACTTTTTGATAGTATTGTAACTAACAAAATTGCAGAGTCTACAGCAACATCTAAAAAAGTAAAGCTGATGGCTCTTGCTAAAACAAACTGATTTTTCAATAAAAAAAATTCTGAAATATTGCATGTAACAAACTATGTAGCTTGAACTACTTGTAAATTAGTTAGTAAAGCTAGCATTAGAAAAAGGTATTTTAGTCATGCCTAATCTTAAATTAGAAAAACTGAGTAATATCAAAATAGATTGCTAAGTTTGATTCTTAATAACATAAAAGGTTGGGTTTAAAACCCAACCTTTTATGTTGGGTTTTAAACCCAACATAAAAGGTTTTATATCTTGGGTTTAAAACCCAAAATATAAAAGGTTGGGTTTAAAAATATCAAATTGTTTTTACTTAATCTGAATTGAAACTGTCATTTTAAAAAAGACAAAAGTCCATTAATTAAAAATTTAAATTAAAAATATCTATGAGGTGTATGTTTACTAACAAAACTCACTAAAAATGTCTTTTTATCTACCATGCTAAGTTTCTTTTAGCACCATAGACGTTTGTCTTATAAAAAAAAAAAATTTTGTTGATCCTAAAAAGTTTTAATGGTTATAAAAGTTTTTATAAAATCTGTTGTAACAGTTAAAAGTTTTAACTTTCAAAGTTTATTTACGAAAACGATGAACATAGCTGAACAATGCTGTATAATGCCTGATAAAAAGAACTTATGTAAGCGTAAAGAAAAAATGTCTATCTGCAAAAACCTTTGCTCTTATGTAATTTAAAGAGATTGTTTGTTACCTTCAAAACCAAGAACCCAGAAATAAAAAAAGAATTTTCAAAGTTTTGAGCATTGCAACCAAAATGGTTTATTGCTATTGGTGCTTAAGGAACACATTTTGTATGTGTCTGTGCTATTCATTAGAAATCAAAACTTTTACATCCTCTTGATGTGACATAAAAAGTATTATATCCTTATATTGTTTTTGACATGGCTAATAAAGGCTATATGATGCGGAAATAGGAAAAATGTTCAGCAAGTACGAATATATTGGTTGTAAAACTTTATGATTCAATTGGAGAATTAGATGAAAATGATGAGGTTAAATTCAACCAGTGAACAACTACAGATAGGTTAAACTTAATACATAACAAAGAGCCAGTGTTTGAATACAAAGAACTAGTATGTAAAAAACTGACAAAACTTGCATCACTCATATTTAGCAAAGAGTCAAGCAGTATACCTGAGAAATATCAAGAAAGAAAGATAGTGATGAGATAACAGCATTATTTCTGGATGATTTTTCAGAAAACTACAATGAAAAATTTACCATGTACAATTTATCCTGTGATTATTTATTTCAAAAAAAGTGTTCTTAAGCACAAATCTTGTTATATTGTTTCAAATGATATGATGCATGATGTGAACATTTTGTATAAAATTGAGTTTGTCAAAATGTTAAAATAATTTTTCATTGATTTTAAAACAAATCTACCTCAAAAAAAAAAAAAAAAAGAATTTTTTTCAGAGTGATGTACAGGTTAATATAAAAATTGCAAAATTTTTATTTTAAAACTTTAATTTTTGGTCCTTCTGCTAAATAGAACTTTTTTTGCAAATAGTTGTGGTAAGCAATCTTGTAATAAAATATGTGGTACAGTCAAACATACAACACTAGCAAACTTGCAGAGATAAGGATAGTTTTATCTCCACATGCAATGTACAAGTATTGCAATCAAAACATTGAAGGTGTACATTTCTTTTATATAACATCAGCAGTTTTGGTGAAAAGCACTTTTAAGCAATGATTGGATACTGCAAATATTATACCTCGAACATGTAGTTACCATTAGTTTGTACCACTTTGCCATCAAAAGGTAAAAAAATATATTTTATGTATCTTTTATTATCTTTTAAGAAACATGCATAAGTTTTATTGATAAACTCAAATAGATTTTTTATTTATGTAGAATCATTGTCAAAAATATTTTTACTTTTACACAATTCTCTTTTAATCCCTCTAACAAAACATTTTTAACAAAATAAGTAAAATGGAATAAATTTTGCTGGCTAGTCTAGATAGGCACAAAGCTATGTTAATTGATTTGCTTTAAATCATGACTTTAGAATAATCAAAATAAATTTGCTTTAATTCATGACTTTAGAAACAACAAGGTAATAACTATATGCTTAGTACCAGATAATTATGATTGTCTTTCCATTAAGCAAATGAAAAAAAAAAACATCCTTGTCAAATTTATGCGTCTAAATGATTCTGTGTAGTTAGGCCATAAGCGAATAGTTGTGTAGTTAGGCCTCAAGTGAATAGTTGCTATTTTAAACAAGTGTTACTATAATGAACTATTACTATAGTGAGAATATTAAAAGTTGAAAAAAATTGTTTTAAAAAAATGCAAAAATATTTTTTATAAATAGTTTTTTATATATTTATTTATGTTTAGACAATTTTTTAGGCTCTGACTGTTTAACTATTAATTTCCCTGGAGCATGCTTTTAGCCAATAGTATTGCTAGTATTTTTAATTCGTTTGACGTCACTAAGTCACTTTGTTGTTGTTAGCACTGTTATGTCTTCAATTTAAATCTTATTTTTCTTGATAGGAGTTTTGTTTTCAGTTTCACGTCTATCAGCTACGGTAATAAGCTAACCACTTCTTTAAAAAAATTCTTTTATTAACTTATCGAATATGGTAAGATACTTATTTATATTTTATTTTTTATATCCTTATGTGTATTTACACTAAAAGATTTTTTTTACACTTAATATTACTGTTTATCGCTATTAGATTTATGATATTTTCTTTTTGTGCGTGTTTGTCTCTATATCCCCATTTTTTCTAAAAGTTATTGGTGTTGCCTAAATTTGGTAGGGGTATGGGTGATTGGCTTTTCTATAGTAAGGTCCATTTTATTGCAATGACTTATATGATGTAGGCTACAGGCGATGATAGAGATAGCAAGGATGCATCCCTGATGAGTGATGCTAGCCATTTTTATCAGACTCTCCGAAACATCATTGGTGAATATATTGTGGCCCTGAGGATGGAGTGTCACCTACATTAGTACACTACTTAATTTTAATTGGAACATACAACACCGTTATTTTTATTATCTTTCTGCTTTCCCTATTTGGGAAAAAATAATGTGTATGTGTATATATATAAATGTGTATGTGTATATATATATGTGTGTATGTGTATGTATATATATATGTGTGTGTATATATGTATGTGTATGTATTTGTATGTGTACAGTAGGGTGTCCCAAAAACACACTTTTTTAAAAATTTCAATGTGCTCTAAACTGATCCCCATTCTATAGGTCCTAAATAGCTACCAAAATCTTTTTTTTAACTTTTTAATGACTAGAAGTGATAGATGTAAATTCTGAGTTTTACGGTTTTGTACATATATGTGTATTTACTAAAAAACAGCGCTATCTAGTATTTCAATATGTTTTAATATGATGTAATAATTAGTACACAAATAATTCCCATAGGATATTATTAAAGAATAGGATCATTCCCTATGAACATTGTTAGCGATTGATATTTTTCCCTCTGGACAATATTATTAGTTGGTATAATTCCCCATGGATTGGTTCACAAATAACTCCATTTAGAACAAATATTTACGAAACATCGCTTTTTTATTATAAAATTAAGCGATGTTTTTTATATAAAGTAACAACTTACGATTGTTTAAAAGGGAAACAAATATTCTTTATTTAACTTTTTGCAAGTTTTAGTTTTACTTAAGCTTAATTTATTTTATAAATAAAAAAGTTAATTTTTTTAATACCTATTTTATGTTTCGCGTAGTTTGAAAAGTTTAACATATTTGAAGCGATTCTTCTTAGTAAGATAAACAATTGAAATAATTAAATCATTGAATTACTATAGGAATTAAATTATCAAGATAGAAATCAACTAAAAACGTTAAAAATACGTAATGACCAGGAAGCGAAACTGCTTTACAATATCGCTGATGATGTTTAGTGAGTGGGTTTTTAATTTTAATTAGTATTTAAAGCAGAAAAAAGTATAACGAGTTTTAAGAATGGCAACTTAAGCGAAAATAATTAGAGTTAGTAAACCAATATCTAGAAACTTTTCTTTATATCTAATTATTTGCTATTATATATTTGTGTTCTGTCGTGACTTCAGGCGCGTTGCTTGTTCATCCGCGAGTTACTTTGTATGCGATGTTTGTGTTAAGTTACCAGAAACTTCTTATATGTTTGTTACATAATTAGTTTTATTAACTTTAATGATTATAACTTCATTGAAAGCGCAATTATTTTTGCAAGTCTTTGTTTAAATTATAAAAATTGCTTTAAAAGATACATTATGATAAAAAACCAATACACAAAATTACGTTTACATAAAGAATACAATCTCTTTTAAAATAAAAAATAAGAATATACTAATAAAATCTATGATTTATATAAACTTTTAAAATTTTAACAATTTAATTAATATATATTTAAAACATTTATTTTCGTAAACAAATAATATATATTCTTAAAATAATACTAGAAATCTCAAAACGTGAATAATACAATTTCTGAAACATTTTAACAGAATACCCTAGAACTTTATTTCGCTTAATCAGCGTATTTTTTGAACCAATAGAATTAGTTTGTTTTTAATTTGGCGGGTTTTTAGTGTTCACAAATATTCTTTTTATTCTTTCGCACAAAGATAATTTGAGAACATTCTAGTTTATTATGTTTCCATGTATGTCCGTAAAACAAAAATTCTTTGTTTTGTACATAAACTTAAATGTTCTTAAATCGACTAAAAAACCTGGCCAGTTTTACGCAACTGAATATAATTTCCGTGGTCAGTATTCGAGAGCGATCGCTCCCGCTTCCCGACCAAGCCTGCTTCATAGATTTTTGATGCAAATGTAACATTTAGTAAAAATTTAGTTAAAAATATGATAATTTCGAAATTCATATAAAGATGGGTAGAACAGCTAAAAAAAAGATGATAGGACAGAACAAGAAAAAACGGAAAAATACAGAAAGGTTGAGGTATATTTACCCATTGAAGTACACACTAGGGGAGTTACCTCAGAGACAGCTTCCATCTAATGGTGATATTCTTAGATACTATCAATTTATCCTTCGCGAGTCACAAGTTAAATACAAACCCACTTCTACTAATGTTGGTTGCAAATTGAAATCGAAATCCAAGGATCTTGTTTGTGAAAATGGTGTTTGTACAGATCCTGATAATTCTTGCTTGGTATCTAGGATTAAAAAAATTTTGGATAATGCTGGGTTTGGCAAGAAATTTGTGATTTGTGGGTACAATATAAAGACCAAAATCATTAAACTTAATTTAAAATACAAGAAATTGATTAAATTGTCTTCTCTAAACTGGAACAGCAGTCTTGATAAGCAATCAAAGTTAGAGAAAGATTTTCTCACAGAATCCTATCAGCTTTTTGACATCTTGACTAAGAATTTTAAAAAAGATATTCTTGCTGATAGATTGAGAACAGATGATGCCAAGCTGGAAGATATAAAGTAAGTTCATTAAATAACACTTTTTTTAGTAGTGAGATTTTTTTTCCAATTAAAAGTAACTTAAGTAATAGCATATTATTTTCTTTAAAATATTTACGTTTAACTCTTTACATGGTTTGGTCATCTTCCAAGAAAAACTAGAACAGTTATTAATTTATTTATAAATGGCTCAATAGATTTAAATATTTTTTAGTTTTTATGAAGACCAGAAGTTACATAGGAAAGGATATATGGAAACAAAAGTCGATGAAGACTACAGTAGAAGAGTAATGGATGCAAACAGGAGAAAGAACAAGCTAGATAAGTTGAGAGAGAAAGAATTAGAGAGACAGAAAAACTTAAAAGATATCAATGATGTTTTGTTGTCACATGACTCCATGACAGAAGAGATTCAATTCATCAGTGAGGAAGAAAAGTCAAACGAGGACTCTGAAATCAGCGAGGAAGATGATTTCCTGGGTAACGGTCGGAAACGCAGGTATAGTATTATTTTAATAACATAGTTGTAATTTTCACAAGCTAAAGCTGTTTTATTGAAAAGTATATAATTATAAATAGGTAGAAAAATATTATAAAATGATACCTAGGTACAATTCTGGAGATAGGATAAATCTAGCAGTGAATGTTGAAAAGCTCATTGAATGTACTGCTATTCCAGCAACAAGGTTCAATGTTGGTGTACGACCTCATCTGGCAATTTTAAGTGAAGTATTTAAAGCTGGAGGTATAGAAATTAATGATATACCGCTTTCACGAAGCACACTTCATAGAAAAAAGTTCAAATATGTAGAACTTGAAGGAGACTCGGAGTGGATTTCAATATCTAATCATCTTAAAGGCCGACGGCTTTCTTCATTTTGATACCAAACTGTTGGAACAAATTACCACTGGGCTTAACATTATTCAAAAAATTGAGCGACTTGCAGTCTCAGTGAGTTCCCCGGATGACGATACCATGGAAGACCATCTTTTAGGTGTTGTTTAATGTCCCTCTTCAAAGGGAGTTGACCAAGCAGAACAAGTGCACAATCTTTTAGAATATTACGGATGTAAAGAGCAGATCATGGAACATAGCAAATTGCTATGTTCCATGGTTTTTAAAAAGTTTTTTAGGATTTCTGGCTCCCTACAAAAAGTTTTTTAGGATTTCTGGCTCCCTTCTCTTCAAACATTTTAAAATATTAAGAGCAAGTATAAAAGAATGGCTTAATAATAGTCTTAATACTATAGATGTTTTTAACCATCCTCAGTTGCTAGATTTTATTGCATGGATCAAAAACATATCTGTTGTAAATGATGGTGCAGAAAGAAACATTAAGCTCATTAAAGATTTTATTTCAGCTACTAGAGATGAAGATCACCTTCAAAATGTACTTTTTGTAGTTAAAAAGTCTAGAAAAAACTTGACTAAGACTATGACTAAAAAGGAGCTTGGGAACTGTTCAAAAAGTTGTATTTTTTGAGAAATGTTTCACCACAATAAAATCTGAAATTTGCTAATAAATATTAGTTTTCATGTATTTTTTTTTGTATTTTCATATTTATAAATATAATCTATCAAGTTAAATAGTAGAAAACAATTGGAAATGATTTATACCCATCTAATTGTTTTGTTTTAATTTTCTAAAATGTGTTTTCTATTAATGTTAAGCTAGCTTAACATTAAAACAGTAAAACTCAGATTTTACATCTAGCACTTCCTGTCAAAATAAAACCATCAAATTTTTTTTAGTACTTATTTAGGTCACATAGAATGGGAATCAGTAGAGAGCTTTTTTTTTTTTTTTTTTTTGGGACACCCTAGTGTACAGGTATGTATGTGTGTATTTGTGTATATGTATGTATGTATATATATACATATTTTAGCACTTTGTCTTTACTTTATTTATACACTATTTAATTTATTGTTATTTAATTTTATTGTTTCCTTAATTATTTTATTAAGTTTGTTATCTTGTATCTATGTGAACATCTATAGCTTGATCGGTTAGAGCGTTGCCCTGGTAATCATTGAATTCCAGGTTAAATTCCCGCTCTGAGCGTATTATGTTTAACATAGTATTTTAACTTTGTTTTTTATACCTTGCGCGTTGGTTATGATTTTCCATTTAGAATCTGAGTTTATTATTTCTATTACATGTGTGATGTCTAAATTATCATTATTGTTTTTTTAATATATACTTTACTTTAGTATCTTTGTTTTGCTCTGAACATCTGTTCATAATATCTTTTTAATTTTTTTTTTGTTATCTTTTCTCTGTTTCTAATTTTTTTCTCTATTTCACTTGGGTTTGACAGCTCGGTCTAGTCCTTTGATGCATATTTTTGCATTTTTTTAAAATGATTTTGCATCCTTGTTTAAATGGCCACAAGTGAATAGCTATTTTAAACAAGTGAACTGTTACTAAGCAAGTGTTACTATAGTGAACTGTTACTATAGTAACTGTGTTACTATAGTGAACTGTTACTATAGTAACTGTGTTACTATAGTGAACTGTTACTATAGTTAGTTGCTACTATTAAAAGTTGAAAAAAATTGTTTTAAAAAGAAAATAAACATTTTAAAACTAATTTCAAGTATGATATGTCTTATCCCAACTTTATTAAAAACGTTTGTTTGTGTACAATTTATAAATAGTGTGAATGTAAAACATACAAAATCACTAAAGTTGAATGATTTTGAATTTCTTTTTCAAAATGTTTTTCATACCATTTAACTTTGTGGTAAATAACATCAAAAAACTAATAGTCATGAAATTGCTATTTTCTAATTTGATTGATTGGTAAAAGTATGGGATAGAGTGTCTGGTTTTAAAAATATCACAAAATTTTGTTTCCATATCAAACATCAATAACTTCTCTAGAAAACGTTAGCCCAAAAAAGTTGTTTTGTATAGTACATATAATCTTTAAGATAATCAAAGCCAAAATTTTTTTCTACTCATCAGATTTTTTCTCGAGCTTTAGTTGTCAATGGCTTTTTTTTCTTTCATTTGTAAGTGCCATTTGTGGATCTTAAAATAAACTATATTATATTGTTTTGAGAGATACAAAACTAAAATTTTCAGTTCAGCAGGTTTTAAACTCCTATTAAATTTCAGCATTGCAGCTCCAAGCACTTTATAAGGGTAAACTTTCCTCCTCTCATTTTCAATCAAAACTGAACAAACTTTAAGTTGCTGTAAATTCTAAACAGATAGGAATTTTATGAAAATTAGACTTTTCAAATTGTGAAAAATTTCAGCAAATTTGATGAGGTAGGGTACAGGTTTTTGTTGTATTTTGAAATATTTTTACTCAATTACATATATATAAATGTTACTTTTCTTTCAAGCCAACTTTAAACTTTTGCATAATTTTGAGTTTATTTAAAATATTTGGTTCTTTATTATTACTTAATAATTCATAAATCTTTTTCAGCTTTTATGTTGATGAAAAAACAAAATGTATAGAAAAACTCAAGATCATTTTAAATTGTTTGCCATGATTAAACTAAAAACTGGTATTAAAAAAAAAAACTATCCACAGCTTCAACTAAAAACATCCCTTTTATTATTTAATATTTATTTTATTTGTTATAGCATTATTGTTTACTAATGTTCTTTTTTTAACTTATTGCTACGTTACTGATTGTTTTATCTTTGTTTAGCAAACAAAGCCTGATGACTGTGTATTCATTTTGCATTTGCAATAATGAGTAATTTTTCTCACCTTTAGGTTGATGTGGTAGTACATGGGTCAACATTAATTATGAATGATGCTGATGGAAGTGATCCATACGCCTACCCAAAACAAATAGGTATATTTCAAACTGTTGATAGTGGAAATCCATTGACTACATCAGATATTGTTCAAAGGATAATTGCACATAAGTATGTTTGTTTTTATTTCATTATTTAATAATATTTTTATAATTCTTACAAAATTTCTACAAAAAATTAGCAAAACTATTGAAATTTATTATTAAGTTTAAATAGTGAACTGGTAAGCGTTACGACTGCCACGCTACGTAGAGTTAATTTTTGAAAAAAGTTGAAGAATTTAATGCTGTAACTTTTACGTACTAAACTATATGACAGTGTTTCACATTTCTTGAAAGTTTCAAGTCATTTCCGTTTTCGGTTCATTTTTAATACCTTAAATAATGTCAAATGTTACGATTGCCACCCTCACGGAATTGCATAGGTTTGCTATGATTGCCAAGATATAAAACTGCTTTTTGCTTTAAACGGTTTAAACTTCTAAACTGATAAATTCTTGCTTAGCATACATTACATTTAATTATATATGTATATTTTGTTTTAAGGCTTGAGTATGAACTAAGAAATCAAAACAAAGAAAAAAAAGAACTCGCCGTATTAGAAAAAATTCAAAAGCAAAAAGAAATGTTGAATGGCAATGAAGTTATTTAAATTAAATTATTATTTTTATTTTATCTGAATAGAAAAATATGTCCTACTTTATAGTAGGACAAAACTTTTAGACTTTTGTGTTATTATGTTTGTAGTTGCGCGTGTGTGTATGTGCGTACGCGTATATGTGTGTTTGTGTATAAATTTTAAATTTTTTGTGTCTATACAAATGGGTAAAGTTTTAATCAAAAATTTGTTTCGTTTTATTAATTAAATATTTGCTGTAATAATTAAATTTGTATTTACTTTGCTCTATTAATTAGTGCAATTATTTTATAGTAAAAAAAATAATAAAAAACTATTTGCTTGTCTTATTTCTTTATTTAGAATAGCGCATAGAACCGTTGAGAAAAGTTAGTTATTAAAAATTGTGGTTGCAGAAAATTTTATATTAATTTATATTTAAACTATTGGATAGTTTAATGTTAAAGTGATGAAAGGTATTTTATAAAGTGCATACGCAAAAATTAGAATTTCAAGACCATATTTAAAAGAAATTTTTAAAAAAGATGTTATGAACGATAATTTAAACAATGCTGAAAAAATATTTGAAATCTGTCGGTATCCAAATGATACCAATGAGAAAGATAATGAAAATTGTAATAAAACATAAAAAGTAATTTAATCTACTTAAAAAATAAATGTGACAAACTTAAATTTTTTAAGTTTGTCCTTTATACTAGAGGTGTACCGGATATTTTTGCCGGATATGCCGGATATTAAACTTTTCTAAAGTTCTATAAATGTTTATGAAGAAAAAACAAGTCTTGCTAGTATTCAAGATCTTACTTTAAAAAATCGAGAAAAAAAATGTATGATATGGAATATGTGCTGACGAAATATAGAAAATAGTAAAATTTAAAAAAACATAAATTTGGCTGTAAAAATGATTTTTCCTTATACATTATTAACGCATATACCTGTGTTATACCAGTGTTTTCTTGATTTTATTTTTTTTTTAATTTTGAACACTATTTAATGTAGAATGGCAAGACTTGTTTTTTCTTCATAAACACTTATAGAACTTAAGAAGATTTCAATATCCGATACACCTCTACTTTTTACCGAGAGCTGAGTTCTTGCTTTTGAGAACAACAAATATATTGTTTTCTGTCGTGCCCAAAGAAGTTGAACTTAGATTCGTCAGTCCAGAGCACATTTTTCCAAAAACGTAAATAAGCTGTATGTGCGCCAGCAAAAGGATTCAGGTTATCAACACGGAAGTTACCTTTCGTTCTCGAGACTTGTTGCGTTTTTTGTTGCTTAACGAACCAGTATTGTTAAGTAAATTCATAGCATTGATGACTTTCTTAAAAAAAAAAACATGTCTTCGTAAAACATATAGATAATGAGTTTTTCGAAATGATTTACAAGAATATCCTAAAAATACTGAATATAATACAAGAATTGATATAATACAAGAATTTTTTTTTTTAAAAAAAAAGTTGATTTATGTTATTTAAAATAGAATTAAATAAAAGTAAATTGGAGATTGCCAGTTTAATTTTTATAAAATTAATAAACAAAACATATACGAGTTTCCATGAGAGATTTTTTAAAAATGCCCAAACGTCAAATGAGTACATCCGTTAATAAAGGTAAATATAAAAAATAATAACAATCGCTATAAAAACATAAAATTTGGTATCAAAAAGTAAAATCAGATGGTCATGAACTAGTGTGCTATTTATGTTGCCGCCACTGTACATACATACAATGTACATAAATATTATAAATGTTGTTTTAAGTAAACTACTTAAAAGTGAAAAATTGAGAAACTTTTAATCTTGGCTTCAGTAAAAATGTACATAAATGTTAATTTAAAAATTCTTTTAATAAAAATATTTTTAGGAGTCCCCCAAGACCCTTGAACATTTAACGAGCTCCTAATACTATCAAAAAAAATTGTTATCAAGTTAAAATCTAGTATAATGATCAAAATAATATTATCATTTTTGAGATTTTTTCATAACTTCTCTTCATTTTTTTGTTTTGAAATCTCATTTATTTCCAACAAAGCTGCAAGCAACCACTAATAAATTGGGAATTGGGAATTACTAGGAAAAAAAAGCAACGAGCAAGGAAAAAATTAACAGCAGACTTGGAAAGTTTAAGGTAAAAAAACAAAATAAGGCCCATGACAAAATCTTGTCGTACCCTAGAAGTTACTGGAATTGAAAAAAAGTGTTGGGCTTTGATAGAGAATGCCAAACTTTATTGAAAGTTTTAGATATTAGCAGTTTTCGCGTTGCCGCCCCCATTTAATGCACAATAAAATCTTTCAGTTAGAGTCAGTTTTAAGTCAGTCATAGAACAAGAAGATCAAAATTCGTATCAATTGTCAGAGAGTAAGTTATTAGACCCAAAATGAGATTTTAGAAAGCAGCAGCAATAATGGAGCTTATCAGCACCTTTTTAAATTGATTTCTTACAATAATAAAAATGCGTTTGTTCTCAAGAGTGTTGTTCTTTTAAAAAAGCTGAAAAACTAATTTCAATTAGATACTGCAGCTGCACAAGAAAGTGAAAATCATAAAGTAAATTGCGGCTTAAAACCGATGTGAAAGAATAAAAGCTTCAAGTCCTGCCTGGATCCAGTAGGTTAATTTTTAATTTCAGCATCTTTGTTAAAACCTAACAAAAATTCAGGTTTAGATGATGTCAGCAGTAATGTTATTATTAAATCAATAAAATATATAACAATACCACTTTTACATGTTTTAAATTTATCTTTAAAACATGGAACTTTTTAAAGATGAATTCCTGAAAAACTAAAAAGTGCAAAGGTTACACCAATTTTTAAAACAGGGGGTCCTACTGATGTTTCCAGCTACTGACCAATCTCAGTTCTTAAATGTTTTTCCAAGATTTTGGAGCGTGTAATGTATAATAGACTTTATTCTTTCTTAAATGTAAATAATATTCTTTACAATAAACAATTTGTGTTTGTATGTATAGTAAATGTAAATATATTCTTTACAATAAGAAATCCGGTCATTCGACCGACCACGCAATAATTAATTTTGTACATAAAATATTTAAAACTTTTGATGAAAAAAATTTACTTTAGGTGTCTTTATTGATCTAAGCAAAGTGTTTGATACCGTAGATCATAATGTTCTTTTATATAAACTGAAAAACTATGGCATCATAAATTCTAACTTAGATTGGTCAATAAGTTATTTAAAGAATAGGAAACAATGCATTTTATATGATGACAAAAAAAACAAAACAGATTTAATGACAATTAACTGCGGAGTTCCCCAAGGATCGATTTTAGGACCACTTTTATTTCTCATTTATATAAATAACTTGAGTAAATTTTCTAATATCTTAAATTCAATTTTATATGCCGACAATACTAACGTATTTTATTCTAATAAAGATATTAATATTTTATTTGCAACAGTGAACAAAGAGCTTGCAAAATTAAGCAAATGGTTTATATTAAATAAATTGTCTATAAATATTAAAAAAACAAAATATACTTTCTTCCATCGTCTTCACGATAAAGACAAAATTCCCTTAAAAACTTCCTAAACTTTTTATTAACAATTCTTATGTCAAAAGAGAGCGTTCTTTGTTGTTTCTAGGTGTAGTTTTAGATGAAAATGTAACGTGGAAAGAGCACATATAAATAAAATCTTAAAAAATATAGGCCTTTTATATAGAGCCAAGCAGTTGTTAAACAAAAATTGTTTGAAGTTCGTTTACCTTTTTTTATACATAGCTATCTAAATTACGCCAAGGTTGCTTGGTGCAACACTAATGTATCTAAAAATAAAAAGCTTCTAAATAAACAAAAACACGCTGTATAAATTATTGGAAATGTGGATCGTTTCTCGCACACTAAAATTTATTTTTAACAAATTCAAAATACTCAATGTATTTCAGCTTAATCATATTCTTAATATTATTCAAAGTAGATAATAAAACTGCACCCAATTTATTCAACTCATTTTTTTGAAAAAATAAATCATTTATACCCAACAAGATTTTCAAATAACAATTATATTCAATCAAAAACATATTATTCTGCGACTAAATTCTCGATTGCAATCAGAGGACCTAATTTATGGAACACGCAATTGGATAATGAGTTAAAAAAAATTTCTTCCCTTGATCTATTTAAAAATAAAATAAAAAATAAACTTTTGATAAATAACAAATAACAAGACTTCTTCTGAAACTTTTAAATAGGAGTAATCACTTGTTTTTTTACTTGTTATTTACTTTATTTTTGCTCGTATTTATTTTTTGATTTTAATCTGAATCTTTACCTTTCTTTGATGTTCATTATTTATCGCATTATATATATATATATATATATATATATATATATATATATATATATATATATATATATATATATATATATATATATATATATATATATATATATATATATATATATATATATAAATATATATATATATATATATATATATATATATATATATATATATATATATAAATTACGTTTTAATACATATTTTAGACAGTTAAAACACTTCTTGTACCTCATTGGGCACAAGACGTGTTTTAACTGTCTAAAATATGTATTAAAACGTTTTAATACGCATTTAAGACGTTTAAAACGCGTCTTATACTCACTGGGAATACTACTAACTCCGATGCTTTGTTAAGGTCGTTAATATAGGTTTAAAGTATAAGGAGTATATATCTAAAATAGAACCCTATGGAACATCACATATTATTTCAGTAATTTCATTAGAGCATCCATAGTTGTACGGAACGTATTAAGATTTTCCATACAAGTTGAATAATTGCGTTTTCCGTTGAACTATTCTTTTTAAAACCAAACTGATTACTGTAAAACATTTTATTGTAATCAAGATATTTATATGTTCTATTTTAAATTATTATCTCTAAAATTTTTGAGAATATCGAAAGGATGGAAGTAAAACGGTAGTTACTAATATTTGTCTTCAATTTTGAATATCGGAATAACCTTAACAACTTTCAATTGATCTGGAAAGCTCCTTGATCTGTAAAATGCTTTTAATCTTTAAAAAGGATATCATTTAAGCTTTTATAGCTTTAATTTCATTTTTATTATATTACTATTTATTTCTCTCTCCCCAGTTGATTTATTTTTCTTAAGAGATTTAAATGCTCTCTAGAACTCACCAAGCACCGTCCTCCTGAAACCGGATTAAGTGTCAAGTCCGTTCCCGGAGAAACCGCGATATGCCTGTGAAAGCTTATGACCTGGGGATTCCAGAAATACCTAAAATCAAATCATCCTACTACGTCCGAGAAAGAAAAATCATTTTGAATTTTTTATCCTTATTGCACAGATATGAGAAATGACAGCATTCACAAATTTTACATTTTTACAGCAGCAAATATTTTTTAAGATATATAATTAAACTACAGACATATTCAAATATTAAAACATGTAATTTTTAAAATATTTAATATGACAAAAAAAATTCGGGAAAAGGCACTTTTTTCTGAACGCAAATTCTGTGAAGGTCAAGGTTTCAACTCTCTTTGAAAAAATAAGGAAAATGCATAATTCAGCTCGAACTCATGACGAAAACCGCAAAGCTGTATGCCTATTGTGTTTAAAAAAGGCAAATAGAGTGCTGACAGCATTTTTGATTGACAAAGTCCAAAAAATATATAGCCGACCAATCGACTTTGATGACTTAAGAATTCCTCAAGGTTTGTGTGACCCATGCAGAACTGCTTTAAGAAAACGTGATAAGGGGCAACAAGTGGAACTACCTCAAATATTACAGTTTTGAAACAATAATTGTTAGGCCCCAAACAAGAGGAAAGCAATGCAACTGCCTAATCTGTTCCATTGGAAGATTGAAATTAGATGAAAAACACACACTAGAGATGAAAAAAATGAAGAACAAAGCTCTGATAGGTGTTGCTCAAAATGTCTCTAATTGGTAGGGATCTACCTCATCCATGCTCTACTGCTCAGTTTCGTAAAAATTTACAAATTTTGGCAGCAGGTGATTGCACAGTTGCAGAACAAATTGTATCATCAACAATTGCAAACAAGGAATCATCTCCTCATGAAACAATTCATCTTGCCCAAGCCAAGGGGGAAAAATCTC